CCCACTCACCGTTGTGATCTGCGCCTGCCCCTCCAGCGCCGCAGCTCCCCCTCCCCCTCTGCTGCGATGCAAGTTGCATTGCAACCCATGGCCCCCAAGAGTCAACACAGAACCCACCCACTCACCGCTGTGATCTGCGCCTGCCCCTCCAGCGCCCGCAGCTCCCCCCTCCACCTCCCCCCCCTCCACTTCTCCCTCAGCCTCAACCTTTGATGCTATGCAAGCCGCTGGAGACTCCACACCACTCACCGCTGTGATCTGCGCCTGCCCTTCCAAAGCTCGCAGCTCCCCCTCCACCTCCACTGATGTCATTCGGCCCTTGGGTCCATCCATGGTGCCGAGACTGGTGGGGGAGCAAGGAAGAGAAGAGAGGAAGAGAGGAGTTGGGAAAAAGGGGGGGGGGGGGGGGGGAGACAGGGACACAGGAGAGGGGGATTGAAGGAGAAAGGGAGAAAGTAGCCGAGTGGCAGGGTCAAGGCTTATGCTGATGTCATTCGGCCCTTGGGGCCATCTATGGTGCCAAGGCTGGTGAGGGGGAGAGCGAGAAGAGAGGGGGCAAGGGGGTAAGCAGCGCAGGTAAGGCGGGCTCGTGCGCTCCGACTTTTGATTCGACTCAAAAGTTGGCGAGGCTGGTGAGGGGGAGAGCGAGAAGAGAGGGGGCAAAGGGGGTAAGCAGCGCAGGTAAGGCGGGCTCGTTGCGCTCCGACTTTTGAGTCGACTCAAAAGTTGGCGAGGCTGTTGAGGGGGAGAGCGAGAAGAGAGGGGGCAAGGGGGTAAGCAGCGCAGGTAAGGCGGGCTCGTGCGCTCCGACTTTTGAGTCGACTCAAAAGTCACTTTTGAGTCGACTCAAAAGTTGGCGAGGCTGGTGAGGGGGAGAGCGAGAAGAGAGAGGGGGCAAGGGGGTAAGCAAGCAGCGCAGGTAAGGTGGGCTCGTGCGCTCTGCTGATGCCATTCGGCCCTTGGGGCCGTCCATGGTGCCGCCGAGACAGGTGGAGGGGAGAAATTGAAGGAGAGAAAGAAAAGAATTGGAGAGAGGGGGTAGGAAGGAAATGGATCATGTAGGCATGGGGCGGATTCATGGCTTCCGCTGATGTCATTCGGCCTTTGGGACCGTCCGTGGTGCCGAGGCTGGTGGGGGCAAAGGGGGGGGTGTGGTTGGAGTTGACAGAGAAAGCGAGTGAGGGGTCAAGGAGCAGGGTCGTGGATTTGCTGGTATCATTCGGCCCTTACGTCCATCCATGGTGCCGAGGCTGGTGGGGAGGAGGAGTCATGACTTCTGCTGGCGACGATCCCAACGTTAAGGCCCAACGGAAGGAAGTCACACTTTTCGGTGCCGAAATTCACACCTGGACTGGAACGCAGGTGCGTGTGGACCTCCAAGCACCATCTCTGCTCTGCATCCATGGCTGTTGTCTTGTCAATTGAGAGACCAAGGGACCCGTGATTGCCTGAGCGTAGGTCAAACAGCCACTGTATGAAGAAGTGTTTTGAGACGTCTCAAAACACTTCTTCATACACGAGATTGCCTGAGCATAGGTCAAACGCCACCGCCCCACTCACGCACACATCAAACCCCATCCTTCACTAGTCGAGCCCCCATCGCTCAAGTGACAGATGTGCATAACACCCCACTCACGCACACATCAACCCCATCCTTCACTAGTCAAGCCCCCATCGCTCAAGTGACAGATGCGCATAACAGCCCACTCACGCGTCGAAGGCCTGTGTGAGCGAATGCAATGCCGGGTCCAGACATTGCTTGCCCAGCCGTGCCACATCCCTCGCCACTGCTCTCAACTCGCCCCTGTGTGCAGTGCAGTGCATGAGATGACGGAGGGAGAAGTGTGAGGAACAGAGGAAAGATGGTGGAGGGAGGAAGAAAGACGGGTCAAGTCAAGACATTGCTTGCCCAGCCGTGCCACATCCCTCGCCACTGCTCTCAACTCGCCCCTGTGTGCGTGAGAAAAGACGGTGGGGAGGGGAGGGGGAAGGGAGAAGAGTGAGGAACAGGAAACAGGCAGAAAAGGTGAAGAGGAGGAAAAGCAAGGACGCCAGCCAGTTCCGAATCCCTGAAGCTCGTCAAAGCAGATCAAGGCTTTTCAAAACCTTCATGTACAGTACAGCAATCAGTCTTCATGTGTTGTGCTGTGCTGTGTGAAGTCAGCAGCACCACCGGTCCCTGATGATCTCATGATCTCTAATAATGCCATCCACCTGCCCACAAACCTGGTCTTTCTCTCCCACGCACGCACCGCTTGTCCTCGGCAGCAATGCACCAGCATCCTTATGCCCTCCCACGCCACCACCTCCGCCCTCAGACCCTCTATGTCCCTCTCCCACACTCACCGGCCCCCGCCACCACCCACTACCCACCCGCCCACCACCCCAGCCCCACCCTCCTAGCCCTACCCCCCGTCCCAGACCCACCACCTGTGTCCCACGCACCGCTTGTCCTCGGCAGCAATGCACCAGGCGTGGTACAAGTCGTCTGACACCAGCATCCTATGCCCTCCGATGCCAGCACCTCCGCCCGCAGGTCCTCTATATCCCGCTCCCGCACTCACCGGCCCTACCACCCATCCCAGCCAAACCACCCGTGTGCCACGCACCGACCGGCCCTACCATCCGCCCGGCCCTACCACCCGTCCCACCCTCTCCCACGCACCGCTTGTCCTCGGCAGCGATGCACCACACGTGGTAGAAGTCGTCTGACACCAGCATCCTTATGCCCTCCGATGCCAGCAACTCCGCCCGCAAGTCCTCTATAGCCCGCTCCCATACTCACCACACCAGCCCTATCATCACCTGTCCCAGCCTGTCCTCACCGCTTGTCCTCGGCAGCAATGCACATACCACACGTGGTAGAAATCATCCGAGACCAGCATCCTTATGCCCTCCGATGCCAGCACCTCCGCCCGAAGGTCCTCTATATCCCGCTCTAGCAGCGACTGGCGCAGGTTGATTGCCCTGACGATCACGTTTGCCACTTCAAACCCCATGATCTCAATTCTGAGACCAAGGAGGGGAAACGGGGAAGGGAAGCCGAGGGGGGAAGGGGAAGGGGGGAGAGAGGGGAGGAGGGGGAGGAGAATGCGATTGAACACTTGGTACTCATTTTCCTTCGCGTGAATGAATGTCTTAGAACGAGGGTGGGGTTGGGGGGGGGGACAACGGGGTGAGGTGCTTCAGAAGCATGCTACTTATGGAACCTGCACGGACCTGCACGGACCTGCACGGACCTGCATGTACCTGCACGGACCTGCACGGACCTGCATGTACCTGCACGGACCTGCACGGACCTGCACGGACTGACCTCTGCCCCTCACTCACTTTCCCTTGGAGCGGATGAGCTTTGGGCCAACAGGGTGGTCGCCTCCTCTGCTGCAGGCGCTTCCCTGCTAGTCAAAGCAGGGACATGCCAAAAGAACAGAATGGGGAAAGAGAGGGGCAGAGGAGACAAGACAGCAGAGAGCGTTTTGGCATCTTTGGGCCCAGTTCCGGGGCTAGGGCTTAATCAAAGGGCAAGCTGGATCCAAACCTGAACACCGAAGTCTATTTTTGAGGCGCCTCATAAATAGACCCTGTTCCGAGGCTAAGACTTAATCAAAGGGCAAACTGGATCCAGCATGCGTGCATTTTTGAGGCGCCTCAAAAGGCATCCGACTTTTGAGACGCCTCAAGAAACGAATTTTGTTTAAGGCGCCTCAAAAGGCATCTGTAGCGTTGAGCTTTCGGCCCGTCTCTGGGCTTAGGTTTATTCAAAGGGCAAACTGGCTCCGACTCAAAACACCAAAGTGCATGCATGCATGCATTTTAGAGACTAAGATCATGGTCTGGTCGAATGAAGGATAAATGCAGGTTTGGCGACTCAGGATCATGGCGGTGCAGTGCGGTTCAAACAGCTTTTGCGGCTCTTCACAAGAGGCCGGTTGTGCCTGGTCGCATGAATGAAGATACGCGCAGTGTGTAAGTTTAGCGACTCACCCTCGCGTGGGTGACGCAGTTGGTGCGGCAGCAGCGCCTGCTGGTGAGGCTGAGGATTGTGAGGACTGTTTGGGGGGGGAAAGGGCAACGGAGGAGAGGAGAGGAGAGGAGAGGAGAGGACTGCTGGTGAGGGCAGAGAAGCAGTGGGTGGAACGATGAAAGAAAATATAGAATGGCGGAGTCACAAAACTAGTCCCTGCTGCTGGTGTGGCTGAGAATTGCGAAGACTGCTTTGAGGATGGAGGGGCATCAGAGAATAAATAACGGCGTTTGGAGACGTCAGAAAACTAGCGCCTGCTGGTGAAGCCGAGGATTGAGTTGAGAGGACTGTTTGAAAGGGGACAGCGGACAGAAGGGCAACATACAGACAGACACAGAGGGAACGGAGTCACTGACGCATTGAATTAGGCAAACAGGGGCCACAGTGAAACTAGAAGTGACATTGGTGGAAAGGCGACAGCCGTGTGTCGGTGTGACAACAGCTTAAATGTCTGACCCCGCAGCAGCAGAACCGGAGAGAAAAACGAATACAGGAGGCGGGGTGGGGGTTGGGGGGCTGGGAAGAGGGGAGAGGGGGGGAGGGCAGGGGGAGGATGGGGAGAAAACGGGGGAAAGGACAAGGGGGGAGAGGGAGGGACTGGGGAGGCGGGGTGGGCGGGAGGGGTCCTCAATGTCTTGATGTCAGTACAAAATCGCTGTGAGATTGCGAGTAGCAACAGCTGAAGTGCCAAAAAAGAAGAAAAAAAAGGGTAGTTACTCCTACGCTAATAGTACAACTCTAACTCCATAATTTCTCGTACGACCTACGCTACTAGTACTACTCTACTCCATAATATCTCGACAATAGTACCTTGAATCCGCGGACGCCCCCCGTTGGCAAACAGTGGATGCCCGTCGCTTCCCGCGGCGACGACTCCACGCCTTTGTCGTCGCCGTTGTCCGTGCTGTCGCCCTGGTCATCCCTGCGACGGCTTTTACTGAAAAGCGACGGCAGGCGACCCGAAGCCGATTTCCCAGCTGTCGCATCGTCAACGCTGCGACCCGACGCTACCTTGGCTTGCGATTGCAATGTTTCGTCAATTTTCGTCAATCCACTTTCATCTTCGCTGACTCGGTCTGGTAACAGGTCCTTGACAGCCGGTTTGGACTGTATACACCCCATAAGTCGCTGGCTAGGGTTAGGAGGCTAATACCGCGAAGCTCAATAACGCGGCATTGTCGATTGTCGCACTCGGTCAAACGTAGAGAAGGGCATTGGTGGATATCTACCAACTGGAATAGCGCAGCAAACCTCGAGGTCTAGGAGAAAGAATATCGGAGAAATAAACAAAACAAAATACCTACGAAATAAATACGATCGGGTATGATATTGGAGGCGCTAAAAACAGAAACAGAACTACCACGAAATATATACGATCGCGTATGTCGCGTCAAGCCACTAGCCAATGTAGCGTCTTTAGGACAAACTCCTACTTCGGGTCACTACTAGGCGGCAAACAAGAGCACCAAGGTAACATGCCAACACCAACGAACGTGCCGACACTAACGAACGAGCCAACAATAACGAACTCAACACTAACGGGTGTGCAGGAAGGCGGGAGCGACGCGAAGGTCGATCTTTGGGACGGGAAGTCCGGCAACCTAGGCTGTCATGGCTATTGATGGCAGCACTTCCTAACCCCACAGCCTGCTGGTTGCTGACTGTGGGTCTGAGGTCACTCTTATTTCACTGACAGGACGCACGCTCTTCATGTCACGACTCACTACTACAAGCGGTAGAGTGGTTTGAGAGGTGATAAATCAGCTGGCTGGAGCTGTGGCTCGTGGAGATGACGAGGGGATGTCAAACAACAGTTCTCGGTAATACGGTAATATGCGTTTATAGGCGGCTAATTTACATATCAAAACGATCAGGTATGGTAGGCTTTGAGAAGGAAGCTAGTGTAACCGTCCCAGTGTTCCGTACGAACGACACAAGCAGCAGTTTCCCGAGAGGTGTCACATGGAACTCTTCACCAGCCTGGACAGTCCTTGACCACATTTGGAACCACCACTCACCACCATCAAGCCAGCTCCACCCCGCACGCACCCGAACTGAAACAAGGATTTGCACGAACTGTAGCATATTGTACAGGTCCGGGCCCATTCCATCTACAGTATACTGGCGTGGTCATTTTAAATAACAAGCAATGTTGTATGGTTTGGCAAAAAAAAGAACAAGAGGCGACGATATCGTCTTAGGGTTGCGAAGCTTTTTACGTAACTGTAAGTACACATTTTTCTACAATTTATTGATCTGTACATAATACTGTAGTATGACACTGACATGGTGTTTTTTTTCCTACGTTCCAAGATTCCGAAAAAACATACTCAGGATTTGTACCCCGCACCTCTTGATTATAGGCTGTCCTTCAACAACTGCGGTAAACCCCCCCAAACCTACTCTAACTTTCGTAAGTCGTAAAAGTGTCTTCACGTTTAGTTTGCGACGAATCTGACCCTTCCTTAGGGTTTCCCTTTTCTCCCTCCTTCCTCTCGCTGGTTGAGCTCCCCGCTAGTCACGCTCGACCTAGTAGTTCCTACTAAGGTGAGAACCCTAACCTATCAAGCAGAATTAAGTTAGATGATTGCTAGCTATACTAACATATTTTATACTCTAGTGCTGACCGCGTTTAGAAGATGTCAGTTGATTAAGCTTAGGTTTTAGACTTTAGGTCAGGTCTTTAATAAGCCTGCACAGTTCTTTTGTAGATCGTTCCCTTTTCTCTGTTTGAATTCTTATTGCCTCGTATTTGCAAATTTTCTCTGACTTTCTCACTTCCTTACTTCTATTCTACTAGGTAGTTAAACTAGTCTGCCGTTTTCATATGTCTAGGTGCATCTTAGCTTGCTGAACTTCGATTTACGTATGTTTTCATGTCGTTTTCTTACTTGTCGTTTCCATTTTCCTGTTTTTCCGTTTTCCTTACTCCTCCCATTCTTTCTCTTATCTTCATTCCAGCCACTGAATCCGAGCTGAGATCGAAGCCATTGTGCTACCGACGCGTAAGTTATTGCGTCGTGCTTTAATTGATCGTTTTGCAAATTCAAAATGTACCTTAGGGTTTCCTGATTATTTGTCGCTGCTTTCTCTTCCAACGCTACCCAAAGCACTAGCGCCACTCACGCCTAGTGTAGCTACTCGCCACTACGTCACCATAGCTCCTTAAGTTGAGAAAAATGAGAACGAGAATGGATGAACTATGAATGAAGTGAGTACAAGTACTAACCCTAATTGGGTTGTACCCCTTGTAGGCTACCCCACTATAGCCTACACAATATGCAAAAGCTATATGTTCTGACACACCCCCATAGGCAAAGTGGGGGAGAACAAGGGGTCACAAGACCAGTCAAGCAAAGCAAAGCAAAGCAAGCTCAGGGTGGATCACAAAGTCACCACACAGTCCGAGCACAAGGTCAAGGCCACAAGGCCAGTTCACATGCATGGGGTAGACATATATATATATATAATATATATATATATATATATATAAGGCTAAACAAGCAAGAGCAGGTATATATACATATGCAAGAGTACAAGCAAGGTCAAGAGGTGAGCAAGTGAGGCAAGACCGGGACAAGTCCCAACTGAGTGCAGAAGCGCTGATGATCACAAGGCGCAAGTGCCTTGGTGAAAACCATCAGCACTGTTGGCCTCAGAGGCTACGTATGCAAGTCGCAACTGACCACACTGCTGCAGCTCATGAGCAAGAAAGTAGCAGAGAGCAATGTGCTTTGTTCTGTGCTCCAGGCGCTGCTTTCGACACAAGGCCAGCATGGCCTTGTTGTCTACGTACAACACTCGAGGGAGAACGAGGCGACTCTCCAAGGTCGCTCAGCAGGTAGGTGAGCCAGCGAAGCTCCTGTGCAGCCATGGCCCCTGCGTAGATCTCAGCCTCACAACTTGAGCCGAGAACAGAGGGACGAGCGAGTAGCCCGCCACGAAAACGAGCCGAACCAAGACTGAAGGTGTAACCCTCGGACGGACCGCTGAGTAGCCTGGTCCGTCAGCCCAAGAAGCGTCCGCGTGCCCAGTGGGGACCACTGGACTCCGCCCTCCAAGCACTAGCCCCATGCCCGAAGTACTGCACAAGTAGCGCAACACCCTCTTCGCTGCAGCCATGTTTCTCTGGTCTGTGTCTCCCAGGAGCAACATAGCGTGCAAGAATACTAAGAGGGTATGCAAGGTCAGGTCGTGTGCAGGTCATCAGGTACATGAGGCAGCCAACAAGCTCTGGGTACGGGCCACTCGACTCTACGGACTCATCCGAAGGCAGAGCTGAGAGCGAGTGGCGAGTAGACAGAGGAGTGGCCTAAGGCGAGGAGTACGTGAAGCCGAAGCGCTGAAGGACCTGCTGCACCATGTGTGACTAAGTCAAGGTAATGGTGCGGTGTGCTCTGTCCCGGGTGATCTGCAAGCCAAGGTAGCTGCGCAGTTCACCCAGGTCTGTGCACGTGAGTCTCTTCTGCAGCTCCGACTTCACGTAGGCGAGTCCAGCAGTGTCAGCTGTGGCAAAGACCAAGTCGTCGAAGTACACGAGGATGTAGA